GGTTGCCGGGCAACGGTGGTGCTGTGCACAACGGGTTAGCCCATTCAGCCTCAATGTTTCTATTTTTTTGGGTCCTCCCTCTCCTTGCCTTTAAGGCTATACGTGGTTCTCTCGGGCAAGGGAGTGTGGGCGGGAATTTAAAAGACCCCCGGCACGGGATGCGAATTCGGAACTATTTTTCCTCTTTGTCTCATATATCAGGTTGCCGGGCTACGGCGTTGCTGTGCCCATTCGTTAGCCAATTCGGCCACCCCGCCCACTATGTTTCTAAATTATCCATGGTATTAAAACGTTGAGATATTTTATTCCAAACATTAAAAGCTGTCATTCTTATTTGATTTTTAAGCACTATCGTTTTATCTTTCCGATTCTCCGACTCAGCATCACGCCAAAAACAATTGTAAAGATAATAAAATTGCTGAACATTTCCCTCGCTTACAGTATGCAGGTAAGATTTATTCAGATAGTTTCTGATCTATCCATATTTTCAATAAAACTTGTTATCATTTGGTTTTGACACTATTTTTTTTCCTTTTTCGTCTCTCTAACACGGTGTTGGGTCAATTTACAATACAATACAATTTCGAACACAAGCTGATTACAAAGAGTATGAAATTCTGAACATTTTCCTCAGTTTCCACAGTTTGATTAAATTGATGCTTTACTTTAATGTCCGTTTACTTTACTCTAAGGGTGTGTATGAGAATCCACTTTTAATTATTTAATAGATTTAGGCGTCTTCGGAATGCTCTCATCTCGCGATTTCATGAACAACCAAGATTGCTTTACTTCATCCATTACCATATATATTCTGTTATTATTAGCTTTACGAGGTTACTAAAACTAAGAATGGGCAGGTGAATCGAGAATCGAATTAAAGAGTCGATTCTTCTGAAATCATCGTACTCTCAAGTAATTAACACTAAAAAAATCAAGATTTACTCGGAATCGGTCGACTCAATATATTATTAAAAGTAAAAGTACAAGAGAGAGAAACCAAATCGATGCGTATATAAATAATCCAAACAGAGAGAACAAATAAACAAACAAAGTAGAGATATACATATTAATGAAGGGTGCATATGAATGAATCATAAAATGATATATTCCCTGGTACAGACCCTTTTCTATCAAATTATTAACATCCGCCTGAAGCTTCGTAAATAGCTCCATCTCATCGTAGCCTACAACTATTTTATTTACAAATATTCTCGGAATTGGAGAGTTTTCAACAAGGAGATCCACAAAATATGTCTGTTTAATTAGGTACTAAATACCCACTTGCTTTCTACTTCAATCGTACGATAATTTCAGCAAAAACTCGAGAAAAATGTTGTATTAAAAAATATTAAGCCGTTTAGCTTGACCTACACATCCAACATTTCAAATTTAGTACAAACTTTAGTACCTAATTAAAGAGACAGAAATAGTTAATTTCCAGAGTGAAATCGTCCAAATTCCAAAAGTTTTCGTAAATAAAATATTTGTAGATCACAATGACATATTCAAGTATTCAAGAAGTTTCTGGCGTTGGTTAATAATCAGAAAAAAAGAGGTCTGTACCATGGACTACTAGGATTTGTTGTAATGTCGTAATGTATGTTGTAAAAATTTGGACGTGAAAGAATTAAGAGTTCACCTCACTGTTTCAAACAATAAAATACAAATATGTTATATACTTAATTGCTTTGTAAACTTATTTTCAAATATACCTATAAAAAAGATAATAATTACATATAGCATGTCGCTAATATTAGAGATAAAGGTCGTATGTAAAAACTGAGTTTTTTTACTTACGAGCATAAAAATGTATTATATCCCCACCTAACCAGAATGGAAGGTGTAGGCCTATGCTGACCCGTGATTAAATAAAATGTGTTTAATGAATCTGTTTCGGCGTTTAAATTCACTTAGACTATTTGATGTCATTCCAAATTTCCAGTACAGGTTCAAAGAGTTCATCATTCGACTATTCAGCAATGTTACCGCGTTATAGATTACATATCTTTCTCGCTAGAATCAAAATTGTACTGTCCTGGCGTTTTTCTTGACATGAATCAGGCTTTTGATAGAATATGGCACGATGGTTTGTTACATAAATTGAAAACGATCATTCCTCCAACGTATTACTTAATTTTACTATCATATCTAAAAGATAGATTTTTCCATGTGAAAATGGGGACTGAGTTTTCTGTCATCAAACAAATAAAAGCTGGAGTACCTCAAGGCAGTGTCTTGGGTCCAACACTTTTCAACATTTACTGTGCAGACATCCCACAACATTCTGAAACACTGTTGGCTACATTTGCTGATGACTCGGCAGTATTAACATCTAACAAGGATGCAGCAAAGGCTTTTCAGGTACTTCAAGAACACCTAGACGACATAGCTTGTTGGGCTAAAAGGTGGAGAATAAAAATGAACGAGTCTAAGAGTCAATTTGTATCATTTACACTTAAACTTAACTCTTGTCCTCCAGTGTTCTTTAATAATATTGCTCTAACACCTTCAAAAACTGTACGATTTTTGGGTCGCCACTTGGACAAACGACTGACATGGACATACCACATAAAACAAAAAAGAAAAGAACTTAATCAGCGATACGGACTTCTTTCTAAGCTACTTGACAGACGTTCTAAATTATCTGTGACTAATAAATTAATTATTTACAAAGTCCTCATTAAACCACTATGGGCATATGGGATCGAACTATGGGGAACAGCAAAGAAATCAAATATAAAAATCATTCAGTCATTCCGGTCAAAAGTCCTTCGGAAAATTGTAGACGAACCCTTTTCCGTTTCACATCTCACGTTACACACAGACCTTAACACTTCTTTCATCACGGTAACTGCCACTGACCGCTTTAATAATTTTCATGACAGACTGACTCTAAATTCCAATCCACTTACTCAAGCTCTATCTACTGCCACAAATCCATATAATCCGCCCAGAAGACTGCTGAGGCGGTGGCCAAGAGACTTATTGTATTGAGCTACTTGCTGCATTATCTTTTTTGAGTGTGTATTTGTTATTATGTTATAATGTATGTGTTATTTTACTGGTTTTTTTTTTTTTTTTTTTTTTTTAATCTGAAAAAATCTATGTAATGATTTTTTAAGCGAACTGTTGGATCGATTTTAAAGATAATGTCTTGAATTATTCGGTGAGATCCCGTGACTACTTTGAAAGAATATAAGCAAATTACCGCTATAATTCACTACAGATTTTTCGAGCGGACTTTGACTTTGACGGCTCCAACTTAAAGATAGAAAACACCAGGCCTATTGGATATTTTTTTTTTACTAAAGGAGTCAGGACAGTGCCGTATACTATAACCATAGGCGCAGACCATGGGGAAAGGGGAGTTACGATCTCCCCCCTCCAAGAAAAATGTTGAGGGGTTAAAAATATCGTTACCCTCTCCTCAATGATACAAAGTAAACAAAAAAAAATTGAATACAAATAAGATACTTATTCATGATAAGATAAGATTATTCATTTTTAGCAAAAAAAAAATTTAGAAATTTTCGTATGTTATGAAGTCTCCCTTGTTGAATGAATACAAATTATAATAAATGCCATTGTTTTGTTCAGATATTTTCAAGTATATTCATATGCACTGAAATAAGTGTAATAAATAAATGTTCTACAAGTTTCAAACCAATATTATAACAAGCATTTTCCGCCTTCAGCCTAGCCTTAATCTCCTCTTCAATTTCGTTTTTTCTAGTTATCGTTGACTCTAGATACCTAAACGTCTCTATATGTTCAAACATATTACATATATATCGATATCACCAGCAATTTCGCCATTTTTGCTGCTAATCATACATTTTGTCCGTGTTTATTTCGATTCCTAGTTCTTTACCGGCTTTCATTAACGTTTTCGCATTTAGTTTTATAGTTTCCGCATCTTCCCCTTAACAGTAGCAGATCATACGCATAGCCAAATCTCTCGGGTATTGTCCCACCCAGATTCAACCCTTTTTCGGTACACATTACCTCCCTAATGGTATGTTCTAATGGAAAATTGAACAAAACATGCGAAACGGAATAACCTTGTTTCAAAACCGAACGAACCTCAAACTTTTCGGACAAATTATTACCGATTCTAACATTATTGATTGTTTCCGTCAATTACATCCTGACTAGATTTAATTTTTTTTTTTTTTTTTTTGGTATCCCCTGCTCGAGTAGAATATTATACAGTTTCTGGCGGTCAATAGAATCGTAAACCTTTCTGAAATCGATATACAGCTTGTGAACAACGCCGCTGTACTCTAATTTTTCTCCAATATTTGCCGTAAATAAAATATTTGATCAATAGTCGAACGGTTCCGTCTAAATCCGCATTGGTTGTCTCCGATAATTTCCTCAGCGTAGTCCGTGATTAGACTAATTATGATTAAAGTGAATATTTCATAGCATACCGGAAAAAGTGAAATTCCTCGATAGTTATTACAATCTATCCTTGGGCACTCAATTCTTCACATAAAGTAATTAAAATTGTCAAGTATTAGTAAATATTTTTTCTTCATTTCATTCACAAAAAGATTTTTTTTTAACCAATATTGGTCTTGGTCTTGCAACAGTTAGGCGGTCATGGTCTAGGACTTGCAGTTTGCAAGACCAATGCCGATTTTGGGCAACACCACTTTAGACCGTGCTTCATCCTACTCAAGTTGCAGAACAAATTAGACAGTCACCTAAGAAGAAAGCCCTTGACTATGCTCTGAGAAATGCTCGATTTCTTGACATACTCACAAACGAAAACATAGTTGCGGAACAATCGATCTTCCACCTTCTTGGAATTTGTTTATCATTTTTTCCTTAATATACAGTTTATAACGTACAATATCTCACTTTAAATTCAAATTTTCAAGTTTAATAAACATTTCAAATTGGTGTGCCTTACCTTTTTATTCTGGATACCTGATTGACTTTATATTTTTTTTATTCCCTGAACAGGTAACATGTTCGTGATCGCTGCCATCCTGATGGAACGCCACCTCCAGAACGTGGCCAACTACCTCATCCTCTCGCTGGCGATCGCCGACCTCCTGGTAGCCATCCTGGTCATGCCGCTGTCTGCGCTCTACGAGATCTCTGGTCAGTGGACGCTCGGTTCTGTTCTCTGCGATATCTGGACATCCACAGACGTACTCTGCTGCACTTCTTCGATTCTGCATTTAGTCGCCATAGCACTAGACAGGTAAGTTGCATATATTTACAATGATTAACCCATATTTTTATAATTATATTTATTAGTATTTCCACTGTAAGCACTGTTTTCAATATTTTGTTAGTATTGTTCTCAATCGCTTTAATTTATAAATTTTGAATTTATAAATTTGAAAAACACATAATGATGAAAATTTTAGTGTAGGATGGAAATCAATAACGGGCTAACCAAAAAAAAAATATAATCAGACAGACCAATTTATTCAAGTTTAATATTATTGCCAGCAGTTTAAATATAAGACTAAATGACAGAATAATTAATATCTATTGCTTAATGATTGTGGCATTTATTCTATATTTTAGGTGAAATGGCAGTTTTTCTAACTCATTTTTTTTGTTTGTTTGGTCCGTAATTTTTGCCTAGTTCTTTGGACTCTATTAAATAGAAAAACTACTAATCAAATGTTTCTCATTAACTTTTCAATATTGACTACATTTGTATCTATCAAAAAATAAATCATATAATATATACGTTTAGTTAGTAAACACAGCACTATTTTCAAGAATATTCTGATAGGATATCATATATATATATATATAATATATATATATATATATATATATATATATATATAAAGTGAAAAAGGTAATTAAAGCTTAAAGAAATATATATATATATATATGTATATATATATATATATATATATATATGATATCCTATCAGAATATTCTTGAAAATAGTGCTGTGTTTACTAACTAAACGTATATATTATATGATTTATTTATCCGCTTAAAGTAGTCTGCTTAAAGTGGAATTTAATATTTATGCTATTATAAAATGCGAAGTTTTACATATAATGTTTATTTAGACTTTAACTGTTACACTACGAAAATGGACATATTTAGTCACTATGTAAAGTATTAATTATCCCATCAGCAATTTTGCATCTTTTTTCTTCAAATCGAAAGAAAAACACTCTTTACTGTATCTTTTATGTAATGTTTCTTTCTCGTTAATATTTATTTTCATTCCTTCCATTTAAATCAAATGCAACATTTGGAAACGTACATCTCCTACCTTAAGATGACTTGGGGCAGTACAAGGAAAAAGCAGTAATCTAGAGGTATTTGATCTATAATCTGATTTTATATATGTGTCAGTCTGTTCGGTGTTTCCATGGACAACATGGTATTTTACAGCGTTGTACTCGGTTTCAGCATATGTTGAAAGGGAATTCATTTTGACACGGCACCTACCGTCATTGGTAAATAAACAGGGAAAGCCGCGTTGAGGTCCCGCTACAACCATAAAGCCCAATTACAGAGAGTGGAAAAGGGCTCAGCCCTTCGCTACGCGGTGATACATCGGGATGGTTACGCACCCAGCTAGCCACCACTCCATCAGCGTACCTCTAGGTTACATGTATCTATCCTTGTATCAATTAGCGTTGATAACCAACCCTGAGGATTTCAATGAAATACTCTTCAAAAAACATTGTTATATATTGCTATAGCATTATCAATACTAACTTTTTAAAAATACAATTATCATTAATAATGCAACGGAATAATACAACGTCTGTCATTTCAATTTTATTTACAAATAAAAATGTAATTATCTCTCTTTTAATAAAACAAAAAACTAGGATGTGTGCTTTAGATCACACGATATAAGTGAATATATCAACAAGACAAGATTAATAATATGAAATATAAATAATATCCCATTTCAGAGAGGATAAAACGCTAAACAATTTCCTTGTTTGCAGTATTCAGGTCCGATTTTTAGTTCTTGAGATATTTTAAACACTTCAATTCGACTCCAGCCGACTTTACCAGAGAGTTGAGTGAAATCAAAAAGTTTTGAGAGAACCGAACTTTACTCAACGGGCGAAAGTCATGAGATAGAATGTTTTTAATAATTAAATTTTCTTCAAGAATATATATTATATTTTACTAGTTTATCTTCAACAGTTCAAAAGTTAGTTCAATTATAACTTCATATTTCAATTTAGATTACTAGAAGAAACAAATTATTTTTATAATATGTGTTGTTGTATGTATTTGTATATATATATATATATATATATATATATATATATATATATATATATATATATATATATATATATATATATATATATATATATATAAATTTATAGACATTTAAAGCAATATAATAACGAATATTGTAAAAATTAATTGGTCTGCAAATTCTCGGAATTGACATAGTAATTTATAATTGATCTAGCTTTTGAACCGTTGATGATAAACTCGTAAAACAATATATATATATATATATATATATATTCAGATGTCTTATTTCTAGGGAAAGGGATATAAAGGTCGGAAACACGGGATCTTATTTTCTGGGAGTGGACAACGGGTTTGAACTGTAGGAGACTGTAGATGTAGGAAGGGTGTCGGGTGTTGATCGTTTGGAGTAGGAAATATATATATATATATATATATATATATATATATATATATATATATATATATTATATATATATATATATATAGATTGAATCGACTCATGAATACCTGCTTAAGATTTGTCTTCGGTACATCGAGGCGGTTTTTCATGCGTCCCACCTTTACGATGAGTTAAAATGGCTCTTCTCTTTTTCCACAGACAATAATTCCTTGGAACTTTCCTACTCCAAACGATCAACACCCGACACCCTTCCTACATCTACAGTCTCCTACAGTTCAAACCCGTTGTCCACTCCCAGAAAACAAGATCCCGTGTTTCCGACCTTTATATCCCTTCCCATAGAAATAAGACATCTGAATATTCCTTTATTGCCCGATCCACTGCCTTCCGGAATTCCTTGCCATCTGATATCCGTCATGCCTCTTCCGTGTCTTCATTTAAATATTATCTTTACCAATTCCTTCTCACATCCTAAAATGACGTTATACAATGAAATAAATATTGCGAAACAGATTTTGACTGAGGTGAATGGTTGTTAAAATTGATTGAGTTTTAATTTCAAAAATCAACCCATGCTTACATTATTTTGTTTTGTTTTTTCATTTAAATATTTTTTTTCAAAATGGTGTTATTTTTACTTGTTTTAATATACTTTTACTGAGATACTGTATATTTTCCTTAATATTGATTAATGTAATTTATAGCCAGATGTAGTTTTTATTTTTTTGTTCATAACTGTTATTCATAAGAGACCTCGTCCCAGAATAAAGTTTACTTTCTATCTATCTATATTCTTGAAGAAAATTTAATTATTAAAAACTTTATTCTGCATGACGTAATCGTAGAACGAGACAATCAGGAGTTAGCTAGTCAAATACAGTAAAAAACTAGAAGTAAAAACATTTAGCGATAATTGAGGACGGATATTTCGGAAACTAAGTGAACTAAACTAACTAATTTCACGTAGGTAGTTAGTATCTTTCTTTTTTTCAAAAGTAATTATCGTAAAAAAAAACTTAGCAATAAGAAAAAAATAATAAAAACATTTAATCTAATGATTTTATTATTTTTTTCTTATAGCTAAGTTTTTTTACGATAATTACTTTTGAAGAAAAGAAAGATACTAACTACCTACATGATAGTGTTTACTTAAATGGTGTTTAAGTAATTCTTGAAGTCCTAATAAATGTAATTAAACGAGCAATAATATTTTAAGACATCATTTTTTAATATTTTTTAACAAAAAAACATGGATACATTTTATCGTTGGGGGGTGGGATGGGCTTCAGTCCAAAATTCCCTCTCCGTAGATCCGCCTATGTTTTTAAGTTATGAAAAATTGGTTAATAGTAAGGTAGACAAAATTCCCTTTTTATTCATTTTTTTTTTAATACAACGTTTTTGTCGATGCGATGGATAGTTTTCTTGTGATAAACGAAAACCCGAAAAAGTGACCTTTCAGTATGTTTACCTCCTTACTAGTCCAAACAAAATCCCAAAGTCAAAAATTGTGTCCTCGCCATTTCCTTCTATAACCCCATCGAGTATTCATCGGCTAGACTAGTAATAGAACTTTATAAGTTGTAAAACAATAATCGTCCAATGCTTCGCAAATAGTAAATATGAACAAGTTTATGATAAATAAAATAGGATTCAAATCGTATGTAAGGTAAATAAATGGGCATGTAGTATTATGAATGTTAAGTTAATACAGGTATAGATAACGCTTTGCATTGTTCTCGGCGTTTACAGTTTAGAGAATCCATTAAGATTTAATCTTAATAAAGTCCATTAAAGTTTAATTTTATTGAAGTTCGATTCCAATACAATACGCTATATATACGCTCGTAATATCTACCTAATATATATATATATATATATATATATATATATATATATATATATATATATATATATATATATATATATACTTAGTCATCAGCGCTATAGTCCACTATAGCCTTCTCAGCAATATGTAGCCACTAGTCTCGGTCCAAAGCGACAGACCTCCACTGCCTTACACCAAGCTGTCTCAATTCAGCCTCAACATCCTCCTGTCAACAGAGTGGTGGTTTTCCTCTCTTTCCTGCTTCTCCAGGTCGCCAATATATTATTTTCCTTGGTTGTATCGGGACCTCCAGACGCCTTCTTCACAAACAGACCAGTAAATCCTCCTGAGAATTTTACGCTACCACATTCCAAGAGTCCTCTTATGTTTTTCTGAGATAATAATATCGATTTTTTTTACACGTCTCTCGGACTCTTATTTTTTGTTTTAAGTATTCTTAAATTTAAATATCGCCGTAGTAAATATTTTTATGGCATTGAGAGAAAGAAGTAATGAGACTAGGGACGACTAGTACCCTAAAAGAGTCGTTCGTAGAAGTTTTAAAAAGGCTTTAAAAAAAATCTTTACGTTTTCGCCTATGAACTTATGGGACTCCCAAGAATTAATGAACGTGAAATCATCAAGAAGATTAAGTAATAATTTATATTTGAAACTTTTTAATGACTTTTGTTATAATTTAAGTTATAAAATAATGTACATGTGTATATATTGTAATTAAACAAACAATTATTCAATCTTTTAAGGATATC